GATGAGGCTTTAAAACCTTATGTCCCAAAACAAAATAGGTAATACCTCTTTCCTTTTTTCTAAAACTTTGAAAGATATTCACAATAATGATGAGCAGAGCACAAAAAGAGCTCTTGGCCCAGGGACAGACAGAGAACCCTCTGCAAGTCACAAGTGCCTTCAAGGCACATGAACCCAGAGTCCAAGCAAAAACCTGGAAGGCAGTGGGGACAAGCGCCACCCCAGGAGGAGCAACGGGCAAGGAAGGACTGCTGGCCCCATGGGCTGGTTCTACGGTCACCTCGCCAAGACCACCGTAGGAGCTGGGGCCCTGGAGTGTGCCAGGCCTTCTCAGGGAACACAGGCCAGCACTAAGCCTTTCTTTTGAACAGGAAGTGCCTCTCTCCCAGTCTTCCAAAGTTCTTCAACTTCACTAAGGATAAAACCCATCCTGGGTTTCACCACTGACCTGTCCTTGGTGAAGCTGCGCTGCACAGGTGGGAATGGTGGCAGAGAGGAAGTTTCCTCCTGGACACAGGGAGGAGACTGAATGCACAGTGCCCCCAGGCCTACGAAGTGGACAGACAACCCATCCGGCCCAACAGCCTCAGCTATGCCCCAAATTTACTTCCTGCCCTGAACATACCAATTCTTCTCAAACTCTCCTACCAAAGAACCCCGAAGAGCAGATGTGGAAACCCCACATCCAGAGGGCAACATGTCCTGTGCATGCCTGATCTTAAAATACACGGCCATTTCACCCTCATCCATGAATGATCTCAGGGTCCAATTTTTTATTCTTGTCTGATACTTCAATATGTGTATATGTGTGTGCACACACACGTAAACAGTTTCCACAAGTAAAATCCCCATTCCAGAAAAACACTGTTATCTTGTGGCTTTGCACATCCACAGGGATACACCTAGCCCAGCTGCAGAACCGAGAATAAATCAGTGACAGCTTGCACCAAGAGTTAAAACTGCCGTGGAAACATAACATCTGCCTAAGATTTTTTTTAAGGCATCAGGTTTTTAATATTGACTTAATCACCATGCAAAGACAAATACTCCACAGACTATGATCCAAGGAGGCCACTAAGGAGGCGATGGGTTCCACAAACACCCGACACTGAGGCGGCAGCACTGGGAGCAAGCTGGGCAGTGGCTCCCGGTCTGGATTTCTGATTTACTCTCCCCCCATTTCACACTTAACTGTAGGAGCGCTGACTGCTGTAAGCCAGCAGGAGATCTCAGGTAAGGCACAACCTGACTTGCCAGACTGTCAGTGAGGCACAAGAGAGGTGTCAGAAAGTGCAGTTCAGCAGCTCAGGGTTCCCCACTCACTTCATTCCCCACCCCACCCCCACCCCCACTCTTCCCAGGGACAGAATTTGGCAGAGATTTTAAGGAGTCCCAGCTCAGCACTTTCTCCTTCATCTCCTGCGGTCTTTCCCAGCAGTGACCAAGCTTCACTCTCATCCAGCCCCGCCGAGTGAGCCAGCGGCTCAGAGATCTCCTCTTCCAGGAAGTCTGCCCCACTGCCCCGCCAGAGCAGCATCCTCTCCGGGATGCACTAACCTGCCTTCAGTTCGCCTCTTTGGGCTTCTTCTTCACCTTTCTTTGGTGGTTGAGGATTCATAACTGCCTAAGTTCAGCAACTTTGTAGATTCTTGATGATGGGCTAGAATTTAACGTGCTTCAAAACCTCCTTGAAAACTCTAAAACTACTGTATTTTCAAAAAGATGCAAGTTTTCCTATTCAAACATAACCGATATTTGAATATTATAGAGAATAGAGTTTAAATGTTTATGACCCAAAGAGTAATGCTTTCAGATTGACCAGGTACAGAGGCTCCTGGACCACAACAGGGTCATTCCCCATTGATCCTACCCTAAATTAAAAATATCAAAAGCTGAAAGTGCACCTTCTACACCTTGCCCCAGCGAGCAACACCGCCCACAGGGGAGCACCGGCTGTTTCCCCTGGTGATCCAACACTTCCACAGGCCTATCACTGGCCTGAGGGAACATCCAGGCCCAAAGTTTGGTTTTATTGAATTTTCCTTTTCTTCTTTTGTTCTGAAAAGGAGTCTCACTAAGTTCTCCAGGCTGGCCTTAAACTCCTGGCCTCAAGTGATCCTCCTGCCTCAGCCTCACAAGTACCTGCTGGGAGTACACGCCCACACACGCCACAGCCCTGGCACATCACTTTCACACCACTGTGAAGCTGAGAAATCCTGAGCTGAACCATGGTAAGTCTCAGAATGACTGTTAATTTGGCCAGCAAACAGCTCAGCTCCCGCTGAGCCAGGGCAGCAGCAGCCAGCCCACAGGCTGCCTGGGGCAAACTGAAACCGGGCGCCCTCTCTGGACAGAAACCAAAAAAGCAGGGCTCAGGGCTCCAAATGCCATCTCAGCAGGCACCCTGAGTCCAGAAAAGAGGAAGTCACTGCCAAAGTCATTTCAGTTTCCATGTGAGGAAGACAAACCAATACACATTGTTTTCAACATTTTCCATATGACTCTAAAATCAGGCTTTGAAATACCATACTCAATATTCTCCATCGAAGTCCCACCTCATTAAACACCGGTATAATTCTCAATTTGAACTTGGTTCTAGAATATTTTCAGGCAGAAAACAGACACTGTTCCCAGACTCAAGGAGGCCAATAAACTGACTACATTTCCAAACAATACCTCATGGTGACTCATTGACTTATTGCTCCAAGGAATATTTTCAATTAATTTATTTGATTTTTAAATTATTTCTTACCTTGCACATATGGCCTTCAAGAATTTTTTTGTCACATGCTACCTAACGACATTTCGGTCAACTAGAAAACACATTTTAGGACAGGGTACCATAAGAGGAAGATGGAGCTGAAAAGTCCCCATAACCTCGCAGTGTCACAGCACGAACCTCACTCGGGGTCTGTGACATGGCATGAACCAGCCTACTGCCCGGCCGGCTGGCTGTGTAAGTTAGAGCACAACCACGTTCAGTGCATGAGACTTAATGATAAACACCTGTTACTGGCTTGTGTATTGATTATCCTTTAACTCATTTATTTTAGAGTTTTTTTCTCTACATATTAAAAAAAAAAAAAAAATTAACTGTGAAATAGTGTTGGGCAGGTCCTTCCAGAGGTTCCTCGAGGAAGCACCGTTACCACAGGAGGGGCCCGCTCTTGCCCCAGCAGGCCCTCCACGGAGTGAATGAGAAAGGGGAAGACAGGAGGCCAGTGACTGTGGCCCTGTGCTGCCTAAGCTGCTGCATGTCTTTAGCTTCTAACAAAAAAAAATTAATAATAGAAAAAGGCTTACACAATAAGAATATTAAGAAAAGTAAGTGTTATTCCAAGAGTCAAAATGTTAAAAACTTCTTAAAGACTTTGTAGAGTAAAAAAGAAACAGTAAGCTAGGCTTCCAGTAAGAGGAAGTCCCTCTCAAGTCATTTCAGACTCTAAGTGAGGAAGACAGGCAAATGCACATTCATTTTTCAACATTCTCTGCAGGACTCTAAAATTGGACTTGAAAATACATACTTAATATTCTCTATCTAAAGCCCCACTTCATTAAACACTGGTACTTGTAATTCTCATTTAAACTTGCTTCTAGAACTTTTTTAGGGAGGAAACAAATACTGTTCCTAGGCTCAAGAAGGCCAAGAAACTATGTTCCCAAATAAAACTCACAGTGAGGTATTATTGAATTAATATCTAAATAAAGATATTATTGAATAAAGAACTTTTGTGAATTTAGTGCAGCCTACCTACATGCCTGATGTGCATAAAGGCCACCGTGTCCTCCGGTCACATCCAGGCCTGCACATTCACTCTCCACTCACAGACTCCCCCCAGAGCAACTTCCAGCCCTGCACACTCCACTCCTGCGAAGTGTTCTAAGAAGGTGGACAACTTTTTACCTCTGACTATATTTTTATCCACCCTTTCTACCTTTAGATACACAAGTACTTACCATTGGGTTTCAATTGCCTACAGTATTCACAAAGTAACACACTACACATTTGTAGTCTTCTTCGAGCAACAGGCTATACCTTACAGCCTGGGCGCACAGTAGGCTAGACCATCTAACTTCAAGTTAAGTACTCTCTCTGATATCTGCACAACAATGAAATCACCTAATGACATGTTTCTCAGAATGTAGCCCTATCAAGTGATAGATACATGACTATATTTCACTAGAAATTTTATTCTGTTTGAGATTATTTGCTTTAATAGTTCTTTGCTTTAGTAGATAAGTGCAATATTATCTGCTAATGTTAAATATAAAAGATAACAGCTATTTCTAGTTGATAAAACACATTGAAACACAAATTTTTTAAAATAATCAGATCAAAGATACATATTTTCCTACTAACGTATCTCTTTATATTTAAAACACTCATTTTTCTGTCTTTGTAAGAAAGTTATTTATTTATTTATTTGGGGGGTGGGGGGGGTCGTCTGGTATTGTGGACTCAGCCCAAGCCCTCAAAAGCAGGCTGAGCACAGGCTCTGCCATTGAGCTACACCCCAGCCCTATACACATATTTTTGACTCAGTGCTTCCTTGTGGAAAATTAAGTCAATTTGTTTTGAGCTTCATGAATGATGGCCAGGGTAAATGTCAACTATAACTCTCTTCACTTCTTATCTGGTTAACCTCACTTATAGAGCAGAACAGAAATAAATCCCTAAAGATTCATGGGGAAGGAATGAAAATAAAAACATAAAATTCATGGTGATCCAGCTGGCAAAGAGTATCAACCACTCACTTCCAGCTCCTCAATCCCAACATGAGTCCTCTTAAGAAACTCAGCCTTCAATCCCTGCAGATGGCTACAAACTGCAATTTCCTCAAATTATATTAATTCATTCAACAGATATTAAGTATCTCCTGAGGACAAAGGAACGCAGTAAACCAGGGTCAGTATTTAACAACCTGACATTCCCGGTTACCAAAGACATGCTCTTTCAAAGGCTTAGTATAAGTCTTTCTTCTACTAATGCAGAGTCTTACCTCTTAGATTTCTAGGATGAATCTGTTTCGTTCGAGGCATCTTTTTGGATTCAGGAGCTCCTTCTTCTTCTTAGAAACTGAAGGAAGAGCAGGTCACAAAAAGGTGGCTCCATAAACTCAATGTACATCAATTAATCCACGTGCTAAAAAAAGAAAAACAGACAAAACAAGCAGCAAATGTTATTACCTTCAAAGTAAAAGATAACTATTAAGTTCTGGCTTAGCACAGCATTAACCTAACTCCAGAAAAAGTAGCCAAGCCAGGCACCACTGCAAAACATTACCCACTAACTTTTAATTAAGCCTAGGTCAGGTCATTCTGCCCATATCTGGGTCTTATTAACTATGAAGGGAAAAAAATAAGAGTGTAGGGAGAAAAAAAAAATCTCTGTACCTTTATCAGATAAGAGTGAAGAAATTCACTTTGTGTTTTAAAGTAGCATCACCAGGTACAACTGGAGGATAGCATCAGGCTACGGAGGTTATGCTGTGTGCAGTCCACCTGCCCTATTGGACAGCAAGCACCACATCATGGCCATTCTGGTTTTGAGTTAATTGAGTGAGCCTAAGTTACTATTATGGCTATTCCCCAGTATCAGTCCCCCATTCTAGGATCATGAGAGGATGACACTTTCTGCCTCTCAGTGTTACTCTGGAACCTCTGACCAATCTAGCCAATGACCTCTTAAGTGGAAGAGAGATCTTTTTTACTTCCAGACTGAAGCCTTTAGTTACCAAAGCAAGATCCTCCACATCATTTAGCCCCTCTGAAAATGCACTGCTCCGGAAAATGAATCCAACAAAAGAGTTGAGGTCCCACTAACTCAAATGATCATAAAGCACAAACAAGAAAATCCCTTGTTATTGGAAGTCACTGAGGGGTTCTGGAGTTACTTGTTACTGCAGCATAACCTAGTCTGACCTGATTTATACATATTTAAAGAGTGATCTGCAATACAGAATGCCTAGATGGTAACTATCTAAAACCTAACCACCTATGTTCCTAAATCGGCCACCTCAGTCTCCTCCTCCATAAGACTCTTTCTCAAGGATCCAGCGCAAAAATTTTAGTTTTAACTTCCTGCAATAAAAATGATAAGCAAAACCTTTTATGTTGGCCCTAAACATGAAGCAATGTTTACTCACTAAGCGAACAGGCAAGAATGGAACAGGAATGCTTTGTTCAAAACTGAGGTCCCATCTGTTGCTGTACAGGAAGCAAACAAAACCTACGGAGTAGCTACCAATTGCTTATTTTCTACACATTACCTAATTTAATTCTAACAATAAGTGAAAAGGTAGCTATTATCATTTATCCATTTTATAGAGAAGAAAACTAAGTTTTGGAGAGGTTAAGTAACCTAAGATCAGCAACTAAGTAATGTGGCATCATATGACCCAGTTATTCTCAGTGCCTACTTCCTCAGTGGAGATTATAGGAAATAACAGCTACTGCCAGAGGTTGCCCACTCCCCTAAGAGGATGCATGGCACAGAAAGTCATGACTACATATTCTGATGTCAAACCAGCCTGGGTTCAAGGCCAGGCTTTACCCTTTTGTGTGCCCTTGTTCAAAGTACTTAACCTCTCAAAGATCAGACTTCTCACGGTAAAACTAAGAAAATATTATCTGCTTCTGAAGCCTGTTAGAAGCACTAGAGCTTTGCCTGTCACACAAAAATGCTGAAATAGTAATTCTCTTTAAGAAAGCCTGGATGGCAAAGAGTGTATCTAAGTATAAGGTTTTAGAATCTTATGGTTTCAACTATGAGATAGAATAAAAAAATAGGGTATATATAATAAGATATATATTTTACTCCTGATACATCTATATGTTAGCGTAGTACAAAAATACTCGTAATTTTTAACTGCATGAGGAAAAATATGAAATATGATGGCCAATACTATGTATTTCACTTAGCACTGGGCTAAATGAGCTATAAAAATATGGTTTCTCAACTCTGTGTACTAAAGAAGCACCCACTCTCTGATTCAGGAAGGATCTGATTCAATAGAGAATTTAGATACATTAAAGCCTAATTAATTGTAGGAATGCTGAGCTCAGTTCCTTGTTAAAACTTAAAGCCTCTAAATGGTCACGATATTACGAAGTTTTTAAAGCGTGAACTCCGATGTAATCCAATCATGTGATCCCATAAATGTGAGACATGCAAATTCCCAATCTGTAAGGGCTTTCCGCTACCCTGTTCCCTGCCTACCCACTGTCCCTAGCTGTCCATCCCATGTTTAAATCCTTGTGTTAGGGGGAGTGGATATTTGCAAAGACAGCAGCAGTGTAGCGACTAGGAGAGGTGATAAACCGTTCCTTTACCAGGAGAAAATAAATACTACATGGAGCAAAAACAGGACACGATCAAAAAGCGTAAAGACAGTTGCAAGGAGAAAAAACATGAATGAATGCGGAGGGCGGAGCCTGGGAAAACCCCTCTGCAACGCTGCACTGAACAAAGCGCTTCGCATGCCAGGAGGAGGGGGGATGGAAGTGCCAGCCCAGGAAGGAACCCGGAGTGGATGCGGAGAGCAGGAGGAGGAGGACAAGAAGAGGCGAGCGCGGCAGCCCTGAGACTCCTCCTCGCCGCCAGCTCCGCCGCCGCCCCCTCCCATCTTCAGCCAGCAACTCCTTCCCGAGCCCGACCCCGAGGCGAGCTCGAGCCAACCTGCGCCCCGACCTGCAGCCCCCAGCCCAACAGCTGCAGGCGCGCACTTCCAACCCGGAAAGAAACTACCCAGGTGGCCAGGAGTAAACAGGCACTTGGAGCAAAGAACGAAAGGGAAAGAAAGCCACAAAGCCAGGAGGTTGGGAAGCCGAGGCCTGGTCTCCCTCACCCCGCACCCTCTTGCAAAATGCGTCTGCGGCTGAAAGGCAGGGTCCCTCCGTACCTGCTGGGATCGCAGGACCGCAGCTCGGGCTGCTCCCGCGCGGTGAGGGCGCCCAGAAGTGGCAAGTGGCTCCCGCACGCAGCCATCCCCTCTCCAAGGTCGGCGGTTGCACAAACGCGCGCACACAACACACACATACACACACACTCACACTTACGCGCCCGCACACCCCCCGCCCGCCAGAGGGGGGGAAGTGGTCCTGCCCCCTCGCCGCCACCGCCCCCCAGCTGCAGCGCCCCAGCCGCGGAGCCCGCGCCGACCTGCAGCCAGGACGCCCGGCCGAGCCCCGGCCGCTGCAGCCGGCCCTGGCGCTGCGCTGCTGATGGCGGCAGCCGCAGCTCGGAATCTCCGCGACCCCCGCGCGGCGGCGGCGGCGGCGCCTGGGATCCCTCCTTCACTTGACAACCCCAAACACAAACAGAACCTCCTCCAGCTGCGGCTGCTCTCCCAGTCCCCGGCTCCGTCCCCTTCCCCGCCGCCGCCGCCGCCGCCGCCCGCTGCAGCCACAGTAAAGGCCGGCGACTGGCGCTCACACCACCCGGCGCTGAAATATTAAACAGGGGAGCGGGCCGGGGGGCGGGGGGGAGCGCGGGGCGCGCGGCGGGGGCCGCAGGCGCCGGGCGGGGGAGGCGGCGGCGCTCGCCGGCGCCCCGAGCCGCGGCATGATCGCGGCGACTGGAGAGGGGGCTGCCAGGGACCCGGCGGCGGGGCCGGGGGCGCGCACCACGGCGGGGCGGGCAGGCGGACGGCCGGAGCCGGGGCGCGGTGGGCGGGCTCGGGCTTTACCTCTCCCCCGGGACAGAGTAGGGCACGTTTGGCGTCTTTGGGGACGGCGGGAGGAGCGCGGGCCGGGCGGCGCGGGGGAGGGAGGCGAAGGTCGAGGCTTTCCCGCGGGTGGGCGGGGCGGCAGGGGATCCCCGGGGGCGGAGGCGGGGAGGCCGCGGGTGGCGACGCGCGGGCGCAGGCGGGGGAGGGGGCGTCCCGAGGCGGGGGCTTCGCGGGGGGAGGGGCGGGGAACACCCGCCGGGCGGGCGCGGCCGCCTGCTCCGCCCGGGCCGGCGCTCGCTGGGAGCCCGTGCCCCGGGTCTCCCCGGTGGGGCGGACCCGGGGCCGCGCCAGCCTCGCCAGCCACCCGCGGATCGCCCCGCCCGGCCGCCGCAGGGACTGAGGGGGGGCGCGGAAGGCGCGGCTCGAGGGGGAGGGGCGGGGTTAGGGACGCGAGGGGCGGGAGCCCAGGGTCGCGCTTGCAAGGGGGACTCGCGCCGAGCGGGGGCGGAGGGGCGGGCCCAGCCGGTCACGCGGCCCGGGGAGGCCTGGCCGGGTCGCGCAGTTGGGGGCGGTTGGTCCGGGAAGAGGGGCGGGGACGGGCGGGGCAGTAGTTTCTCTTTACCGTCTCTTTACTTTCCAAAGCAGGATGTGGGCCGGCCCGGTGACGTCATGGGGTCTCCCAGCCCCGCCCCTCGCCCGGGCCGACTGGGGGAGGGGGAGGAACAAGGGAGGGGGGTACCCCAAGGGGGTTTCCTCAGCAACGCGTGGAGGGAAGGGGAAAATCATTGTGAAACTTGAAACTCATTAACTTTGAAAAACAACTTAAAAAAACCAAAGGGGGGCGGGGTGTTGGTTTGGAGGGTAGAAGGGGACATATTATTAACCCTGAACTGAAACCACTTTTTGGTGGCGGATGTTCTATTAAAAGAGCAAGGAAAGCCAAGGTTATTCCAGAGGCCACCCCAAAGCCCGTTGGTGCTTCCCAAAGCCAAAGCTGCGAGCGCAATTAACCCCTACCTGCCCGCCTGACCGCTTGGTCCTAACAGGGGAGGGCACCTCAGGCGCAGAAGTGGGGTGCAGGGCTGGACAGCCCACCCAGCTCTTGGGTCGCCGCTGGGGAGCAGTGAAAGGGGAAGAGGGAGTAATTACTGTAAACCAGAGTTTGACCCCAGCTGCTAGAAAGCAGTAGAGGAAGCAAGAAGTGAAAATTATGGAAAAGAAATAAGAGGAGCAGGACCTGGGTAAGAAAAGTCGTTTTCGAGATTAGACCTAAAAACATTAGTAGTTTGGGGCTCACAAATTCCACATGTACCCCTTAAAAAGCAGGGGAAAGTGGTTTAACGGGCCACCTCGAACTGGGGAGGAAAAAAAAAAGTTAGATGCAAAAAAAAAAAGAAGGTTCTTTTATAAAACCAAACTGTTTTCCCCTTTTAAGGGAAAAAAATGGCAAACGATCATACACCCACAAAAAACAGCTGGCCAGCTGTGCAAACTTAATTTTTTTGTTGTTGTTCCCTTGGGCTTCCATAAAGATGTCTGGGTCTTTCCTGACCCATACCCCTAAAATTCCCCAGAGGAAATCCAACCTCTAGTTCATTTGAGCTAACTAAGAAAAGCTCAAAGCCCCAGAATGGGAATGATTAAAAATGGAATACTCAGTAATGGCGAGTTAAGAGCCAAAAATAATGTTAGGCGAAGGGGAAAATATGCCTACCAGAGAGAAAATTTGGCGGACTATAGGAGCAAAGATCATCCAAGTGAAAATTTAGAATGACAGCTAGCCTATACCAACCCTACAACTTTTAATTTTCAATGTTGATATAATCATCTCTTACGAAAGGAAATGCTTAGCCAATGGACTGCAGTCACAAGAAGTACATCATGTAACTCCCCAGCTGGGTTTTTGGAGTCAAAAAAATAAACGTGCAATTAAATGTGAAAGTATAGCTAATAATCTATAAGGATAAAAAAGGTCCCTTTATAATAAGTCGAGTTTGTGTCATTGGAGAAGTCAGAAATATTAACTGCATGAATAATTTACTCAATAGTTGTCGAACACAACAGAAAAAAATACATTACAAACACAATGTCTATTTAGGATTTAGCGTTGCTAGGAACTTTCAAATAAAATATGCAGGCAATTTTGAATTACAGTCGATTAATTTTGGCATTTCAATTTGTTTTCTCGAGCAGCAGACCAATATTCAACTTATTTTTGGAAATATATACAATACGGAACTCTCCCAGTTAAGTTTTCCAATTTTCTAACTGCAATTTCTTTGCCTACAATTCTGACTTCCTAGACACCAAAATGCAGGGAAATAAGCTAGGTTATACAGTAGCTTGCTTCGGCTTGTTTAGTGGCAAATTCAATATTTTGGTTCTCAAAATATATCAAATAAACTGGGAGGGGGGTGAGCCAGGAGATAAATATATATATGAGATAAATGTTGAAAATCCCCGGAACAATGGGGGAGTGGGTGACCATTATCTGCAAAGTGGGGGAGGCAGGCTCTGGGGGGGGCGCATTTCTCTGGGGTTCCATCCCAACTGGCGTGTGAAAGCTTACGGGCTGTGGGCTTTGAGGGAGGGCAATGTCACTTCTACACGAATTTTTCTTGCTGTGTAGGTTGGGGAAAGCACAACTCCACCCCAGGGCCGCGGCCCGGGCCCCCGGTTCCCACGCGGCCGCCCAGCCCCGCCCGGCTCGGGCTCCCCCCTGGCGCGGCCCCGCGGCCCCGGCCCTCCGCCCTGCGCGCGACCAGGCAGCGCCACAGCCACCGCCACCGCCACCGCCACGCGGAGATCCCGGAGGTTCCTCCCCGCCGGCCGCCAGGTCACGCTGCCCGTCCCTCCCCTCCGCCCTCCGCCCTCCGCGCGCGCTGGGCTTTCCCGTCCACCGGCCGAATCCCCTCCTCCTCTGGGCAACCCGGCGACAAAACCTTCCCTGCACGCTCTGCCAACTCTGTCCCACGCCCAGGCTCTTCCCAAGCCAGGCGCCAGACAAAAGAACCGAGAGGAAAACTTACCCGAACTGCAACGCAAAAAGTCTGATCCAAAGCTTCCTGGGTTTAACTTTTAATTTTTAAAACAACAAAAGCAGAAACCAAAAGCCTCCTAGGTTGGAAGTGGGCGTGAGAGGAAATGCTAGAGGGAGGCGCTTCGTGCTCTTGGCTGCTTTTGCCCCCCCCCCCCACCTCCTTTCTGGTCCCTGCCTGGGGCTTTGATGTTATCTAGCGCACCGCCTACATGGGTTTATACCTTAGGCTTTGTGCAGAGAGCAATGTACAGATATTCAGCATTTTATATGCTAGTTGGGAGCCAGGGTAGCAGGTGGTCACGGTAAAGGATCCCCACTTCTAACCCCTGCAGTGAGAAGAGAACATTTGCAGAGGATTCCCTTTGTTACCTGGGCTGAAAGAACTATCCAGCTATCTCGGAGAGTTGGGTCTGTGGCCATTATTATTATTATTATTATTACTACTACTACTACAACACACATTAGAAGGCCTCCAAAATTGGATTGGTTTCCCTCCATAGTACAAACTTGCAATACAATGGTATTTGTTCAGTTTTCAGATCTCAGTTTTGAAAGTAAATTTTATTTGCTTCCTGAGATAGTCCTGCAGCCTGAAAGAGACAAAAGACATACCCCTGAAGAGTATAAACTATAATAACAAGGCTTACATGCATCATAGATTCCCTTATGGGCCAAAATATCCACACACCTTCCCACTCACATTATGGAGAGCTTGTAACTGTGGATTTTACATTGCTTATCTGGTCAATAGCAAAAGCTGGATATATTTTTACATTAGGTTAGCAGGCTCCAGATCATCACTAACAAAGTACTAACCAAAGATGCTTTTCTCTCTCTTTCTCTAAACAGATTAATAATGAAGAAGTCAGGCACCTACCCCCATTCATCCTTACCTGCACATCCCCTTTATGGCAACACCAGCCTTGCCCTCTGGGAGTTTACAAATTAATGGAGACTGGATAAACACCCAGAAAAATACCTGGAGGGAAAAAAAAAAGATACAAGAAGAAGCTTATAAACAGAGCCAATTAAAGTTATACAGAGTTATTTACACGATTGCTGAGAGGTTTCTGGTTGTGTGGAGGGCAGGAATAGCAGAGAAAGTTTCATCCTGAGGGTGAGTTCTCAGTGGGACTTTGAAAGCAATTTCAGGATTTGGCAGGGATGAGGTCAGCATTCCAGGGGAGGGAAATAGCTTGAAGGTGAGAACAAGTGAACTGTGTGTGATGGTTTTTCCACCTAGAACAGAAAGTCCAAGCAAATGTGAAAGGAGAACCACCCAAACCAGGCCACTTGAGAGTGAAAGGGAAGCTATTAATAATTATACCCAGATAGGAGCCTTACACCTGGACTGTCCCCACAAATGGGAAGGGAGATTCTCTAGTAATGAGCTATAAAGACAGAGTGGGCAGGCACTAGGCAATCCAGGAAGAGCTGATTCAGTCATCATTTGGAAGGAATTAAGACATGATACTGCAAACAGTTGGTAGTCCTTTGGAGACATCTGGACTGAGAATGGTCTTTTAAGGGAAAGTTATTGCCACTGATGGATTTAGAATAGATGTGGAAGCTGCAGCCTTGGTTGTACGAGTAGTAGTGCTAACAGTAGTGGTGGTCGTGATCAGTTACCGACAGCTTACCATGAGCCAGCTCTCCCGCGTGGACTTAGCCCACTCCATAAACCCATTACTGCACATGAAGAAGCAGAGACTAAAATTATTTGGCCTTTTTTTTTTAAATGCTAAATAATCTGCCCAAGTCACAGAACTATTAAATGACAAATACATGATTGGAATTCAGAGAATATCAGATGCTTAAAGCATGAGAAGTGTGTTTTGTGAAAAACAGATTACAGTCACTTTATAATATTCTACATCTGTGGAACAAAGAGGGAAAAAAGGATTTTTTTTTAAAGGTCGTAGTTCAAGTTTCAAGAACTTACTTGTTAGGTTGTGTCATGAAAAATGGAGATGGAATAGTTCATGTTTAAGTGGGAGAAGAGAAAATGTTTTTGAGTTTAATCATGTCTAGTTTCAAGGAGATTTCACATTTATGCCAATGTTTTTAGAGTTAATCTTACTGTTAAAGGGAGACTGGTTTCATTGAAAAGCACCTACTTCAACAACAAAGATGATTGTTTAATGAGTATTTTTTGTGCAATACCTGTTTCATGGGGTGGGCCTGGAGGACTAGACGTGATTGACACAAGTGATACTAGGTGTTCTTAACAGAATTCCCCATAAGCAGTGTGTACAGGTGACATCCTAAGAAACTGGGGCAAACAGCGTTCTACAAAAATAATCCAACGTTGTCCATAACCTAATGATGTGGAAACAAGCCCCACAATCTGAGCCCTCTGTTGGCCATCTCAGACTGCATAACACAATACCACAGACCAGGGTGCTCATCAGTTTCCTCATGTTGTGGAGGCTGGAAGTCCAAGATGAAGTTCCTGGCAGGTTCAGTTTCTGCTGAAGGTAGCCTTCCTGGTCTGCACGGGCCCACCTTCTCACGATGTCCTCCCAAGGCCTTTCCTGGAGGGGTGCATAGGCATGGAAAGGGGACGTGAGAGAAGGAGCTCTCTGGTGCTTCTTCCTTGAAGAAAACTAATCCTGTGGGATGAGGGCCCCAGTGTTAACCTCCTAAAGATCCTATCTCCAGATACAGTCACCTTGGCACTTACACACAGGGATTTGGGCAGGGGCACAACTCAGCCCATACCTGAAGCCTTTTCACGGGGAGTTGTAGATTCATGCCAACCCGGGAAGGGGGTTTGTGGGATGCTTGGAAAGGACCAAAAGCACTTTGTTCTAATCTCTCTTGTTTTCAGGAAGAATCCTTCCTAATTAACTCTTAAAATATTATGGTGCACTCTCCTCTTCAATACTTCTAGTGAAAGAGTTCTTAAATTATGGAACACCACCTGGGTATGCTATAAATAAAGGCATTTTATTGACTGCCAAAGGATCAGAGGGTCTCATTTTCCTGATTTTATGTAAACTAAGCATTATTTATCTAAAGTGTGGATTCCCCCTGCCTTGCCCCAAACCCTCTATCTTATCACTCTATTGATCCCTTTTTAAACATCTAGCAATCTAGAATTATCTTGGTGGTTTCCATGTTTGTCATTTCTCAACCTCCAACTAGAACACCACAGCTGTGAGTGAGGGGTCTTGTTTTGTGGTGAAGATATCCAGTGCATCTTCACCACCTAGAGCAGTATTGGGATACATGTTCAGTGAATATTGAAGTCTAAATCTTGCTCACCTTCCAGTTTGGTTCCTAAGCCTTTCATGTCAGCTTGTTTTCTTGCTTTTATATTTTTTCCTTGAATATCCTTATGAATCTTTATTTCTGGACTCAAAATTATGCAACGCAGTTAAAAGGGATCTGCTCACGTTGTAGACTAGGGAAGCTGAAATATGGAGTGGCTGGATGTATTGTAAAGTATCACCACCTGGCTCCTGGCCGAGTGTGACTGGAGAACTTGGGGTCCATCCTCTCCCCCTCTTCCTTTTGCAATCAAGTCCTTTTTCCCTTTACACCCTCACCCTGATTCTCACCAGCAACCACAAACCCTTTGCTTGCTATTAATCTTCATTACTAGGTTTTATTTTTTAAAGTAGTTCTCCTGTACTAAAATTTTGATACAGATTTTGGGGCTTAAGCATTTTGTGAGGGAGGAAGGAAGGAAGGAAAGAAATGTGTGTAATATTAAGAAAAATATGGCAGCCAGTTGTTGGTGGCACACACCTATAATCCCAGTGACTTGAGAGGCTGAGGCAGGAGGATTTTGAATTCAAAGCCAGCCTCAGCAGCTTAGTGAGGCCATAAGAAACTTAGTAAGACCCTGCCTCTAAATAAAATATATTTTTAAAAGGGCTGAAAATGTGACTCAGTGGTTCAGCACCCCTGGGTTCAATCAATCCCCAGTAACAAAAAGAAGAAGAAGGAGGAGGGTGGGGAGGAGGAGGATTTTTTTAAAGTGTATAAGAAAAGCGATTTACCAAGTGATCCTTCCAAACCCAATCTACATCCATTCCCTTTCCTTTCTGGGTTGCTACAATTGTTGAGTTAAAGAGAGTTAAAAAATCAGGCAAAGTCTTAGGAATAAAGAGAGAAAACCAGTGCTCAGTGATACTCCTTCTGGCCTGGAAAGAGTATGCTCATTGGTTAGTCTCCCCCGCCCCCTGCCTCCCACACAAACATTCCACTTCCCCAAACCTTACCAGAACCCAAACTCACCAGCTTCTGACTTTGTAAAATATGTTGTTGGGCTCTAAGAAATTTTCTCCCAATGCCTGCTTGTTGGATCAAATTTTGCCACTGAATTGCTCCTGGCAAACATCTCTCAAGCCCTCACTTTTTCCTTTCCCTAAATTCTCTGCGGTACATCCAATTCTGTACTGTTTTGTATAATTTTCTGTACATAAAAATCCCATGGTTATGAATGTGTGATTTGAATTTATTGGCATGTTCTTGTCATGGTCTGTCAAAATGTCTATGGGTATCAATAGGAAGGAACCCAAGAATCTACAGTCAAGTCTAACTTGGGAAAAGTTGAAGAAGGAGCAGTGAACACAGTGAACATTCTAGAAGTTAAGGGAAATGAATGTAATATTAACTGACAACTAAGAGACATGAGCAGGGAAATGGAGGACAAGAGTAAACTTTAGCTCAAGGGAAGCTTTGATATGTTTCAGATACTCTTTACGGTTCAGCTAATTTCTGCAAGAGGAGGTGGAGCTTGATTTATGGTAGATGATTGAAAAATGGAACAAATGTTAAATAAAGCATCTAAATAAGACTCTTTATGGGGGTGGGGTGCATGGTGCCCATCAGCTAACCAGGTCTCTCTGTCTAATCTAAAGACAGTGTAGATATCATTTATAAGATTTGGGTTCGGTCTTATTTTGTTTTGTTCTCTCTCTCTCTCTCCTATTAATGTATTATACACACAAGGGCTGGGTAATTATAAAAAATATTGAGACAAGCAGCAAATCTTGGCACAGTCCCCGTATGTAGTGCTCAGAGCAAGAGTAACAGGACACACACATTTGTCTTGTGCTTGCTACTCCATACAACTGTTGTTCCCAACTGCTGT